ATGTGATTAGAGAACACAATCCTGAGGCTCATCTTTCCCGTGCGGCACAGTTAGGATTGGCAAAGCTGCGGGCATATAGCACTAAAATACGTGAAATTCCTGTGCACATCGCAGCCGTAGTTTTGGATCCCCGGCAGAAGTGGGATTATTTCGATTTGGGAATTGAACAAGGAGATTGGACTATTCGCGAAGTTCAGACAGCCAAGGAAACTGTACAACTACTATGGGAAGATCAGTACAGGGTTACCACTGGAAGTTATTTACCAGGCAGGGATAATACATCAGGTATTGGGAATGCAGAACCAGGAGGCTTAGGACTAGTGGAGGAGGAGGAGGAGCATTATCGCCGCTGGCAGGCTAAAAGGCGCCGTGTCACACCTGGTCAGTACCATAATCTCATCCTTTCTATTAATATTCTGTATATTGTATTCCTAATTCACCTAGCCTGTGATCCTCAGATGATGCCTTTACGAGATATATCCAATCTCCTCCTGAACCCGATATCCATTCACCATTCCACTATTGGCTCAATTGCGCAAAGTCTTCAAACCCACTTGCTCCAATGGCCCTCGATATCTTTTCCATACCTGCAATGTCCGCCGATCCGGAGCGATTATTTTCTGGCTCCAAACAGGTTCTCAAAGACACTCGTAAGCGGCTCAAGAGTGATGCCTTAGAGGCCCTAGAATGCCTTAAGTCATGGGCGAAGGAGGGAATTCTTCTGTCAAATGTCTACAGATTCAACACCTTCCCCGAAGATGACTTCCTGTCGGATTATGGTCTTGTGAAGGATCTCTGATAGTGTAGCTTTCTTGGTCCTGTTACGAAATATGGGACCTCAGTTTTCTTCCATCCCCAAACCCCCGCCGCCATCTTTTTATACCCCCTATATCATGTTATTCAATTACTTCCTATATGAAATCTCTGTACCTTACTGTTTCTCTCTTTGTTTCTTTTGTATTCACACTGCTAGTATATTATCACCACACTCTGTATTCCTTCATTCATAGTTCTTTTTCTTTATATCTCCTTCTCCTTTATTATTAGCCATAGATTAATAATTCTGCTCTCAAAAATTGCTATTCCTCTATTCATATCTATAAAATTCTATTCTCTGCAGGCAACTTGCCCTCCAAGCGTAATTCAGCGCCTCACTTGTAATCTTTTCATTAGGACTGGTCAAATACTGGTCTAGACTAGACCGGACCTCGAGTGCTGGTCAGGTCTAGTCAGCATCATCCATGATTGTTGGACGTCCAGTCCTACCCTTAAAACCAGACCGGTCTGACCATTCGGAACCCTGGGCTAGGTTGATAGAGGCTTTTTCAGCACAACAGTTGGGATCCTTGAAAGATTCTGCGGCGGTGGATCCAATGACATTGGCCCAGCGGTCATTGGTTCCCCCGTCAACCTGATAGGGTTGGATCTGAGGGTTTGAAAGTGAAAATGTATTGGGAGGGAAAACTAACTCACTGAGCTAATGAAAATAAAGTTCCATAGTGGGCTTTTCCTGTTCTATTTCCTCTCTTTACATCTATCTTTTGCCTAGCTCTGGTTGGGTGGCTGGGGGTGTGTGCTGCTATGTGTGCTGGTAATGGAAGCAGCTTGTTCACAGTTTAGCTATCATGGAGGGGTATGGTTGTGCGCTCCTGGCGGCCAAAGAATCTGGCCCTCTACTACCACTTACTATGTTTTCCTGTATAAATCCATTCTGTGTGGAAAGACGTGAAGCGACCTTACACAAAGGTGAAAACATCTGATGAATACTGCGTTCCAGAAGATTCACATATCGAAAGACTCTCTAGTATTCCAAAGCATAGCAAGCCATTTACTACTAATACCTGGACTGAAGTTCAACTTATCTCCTCAATCTAACCTGCACATCACTCGCCATGCAAGGAGTTCGTGATGGAGTTGAATGCACTGTTACAAGGACAACTCTAACAAATATGAGGGTCTAGGTTATAATAACGAAATGATGAAGGTTGAAGCCTTTAGAACTAATCGGCAATTTTATTCGGTGTTGTAAATCCCTACAGAGTCACCACAACAGCCAACATCGTTAACATACATTGGGGCTAAGAACTTGGAGTTGGTTTCCCGGTCAGTCCGTTTTAATTGGTAGAGTTTATAGCCAAAATATGTTTGAAGATTTGGGTAAAGGCTTGGTACTAAGCATTTCTGTGCAATATAATGGTTTAATATACTCACCCAGCAGTCTTTTATTCAACTTGTATTATATCGCACTAGGATTCTCTCAGCGCCACACCAAGGGGAGCAGGGTTAAAGGAAAGTGGGAATAGCGAAGGGCTGGCGTCACTTTGGTGTGATAGCGAGATATCGTTGTGCGGTGTGTTAGGATTTGGCTTATAAATCGAGATGTTTCCGTGGGTCGAGGGCCAGGGTAAGCAAGGTGGAGGTTTTAAGGTTTGTACTTTGGGCTCTCAGGATTATAATAGATGAAAAGGTGAGGGTTTGCCATTAGAATGTATCCCTAGCGAGCTCTATAAGCTCCGGCTCAATTCCGCACACTTACAGAGGCCCATTACACCGCTGCTTGTTCCCACAATGTCTCACGGCGAGAAGAGGAGGGAAAAAGGTGATGAATGTTAAAATTCATGAAGGTTCCCAATGAAAATAGGTTACCGCGATCATCTGGGTTGCAGTTTCGGAAAACCTAGTTGGAGGTGCATTAGTTTGTTTGGAGATTGCCAGAGATTTGTGAAGCGTGTATTGTTTAGAAGTATAGCGTAGCGAGAGTGTTTGGAGGGTTTCAGCCATGAGGATAGTGAGACGATGGCTTGTATGAGATTAAGGTTTATTGGGGCTGTGACTGGAGGATGTCGCACTATGATGATTAGGAAACATGGAAGAAACTCTATGAGTGTTAGAACTGTCGGAGATACTGGGATGGATAGAAGGCCAGAGGCCTTGACTGAGTGGAATGGGGGAAACTGTATCAGAAGAAGTTGGAAGGGAATGGCCTGGACGAGTTGGAACAAGATCAGAAGTGGAGACTGGGAAAAGTTGAGGCAGTGTATATATAGGACACCTCCGCCGACGTAAAAACAATAAGAACCACAATACACTCTTATTCCAACATAGTCTAAATTTCTTAATGAAGAGGTTTCATTCATGGCGCAGAGGTTCGCTTCACCACACACCATGTTTAGTCGGCCCCCTCATCATAGCATGTGCTGGTCGGTTGGTCGGGCAGGCGGGCGGGCGGGAATATGGTGCCGTCACGGCCTATCACTTGGTATCACGCCTAGCACGTACCTATTGTCAAAGACGGATTGCGGCATGAATACATCGGGTGTATATAGTGGCTCCATGTTGCTTGGCCTTGCCGATCTTAGGCCTAAACGTGCAGTATAGCCGGCTATGAAAAGATGTAAATCATTGTGAAAGAAAAAGGTAAGCAAAATAAGAAAAATATAACGAAATACAAGCACCACTATGATTGACCCTCTCCCCGCGGAAACTCCTTATCTATTCCCTAAACATGTCTTCTCATTCGCAATTACTCCCATGCCATTGTTACTACCATGGTTTAAATGGCCCTATACCTTATAGCTTTTGCAGGGTGGAAGGGCTCCTGCTGGGCCGAAACACACCTCTGGGCCTTGCTGGCACTCCCCAGCTTTCGGGAATACTAGAGACTTGGGTAACCTTAGTGAAAGCAATCGCGAGCGTTCTTCTTTATGGAGTGGCCACCTTTCCTATCTGCCGCCGGTGATCCCCCCCCTCTTCAGCTAGTAGATTGCCGGTATTTGACCTTGTTGGGATTCGTTTTAGTAAGGGTAGAAATGGACCGATGCGAGAAATAGACACCCCTCTTATTTTGCGACCATTTCTTTGTGCTAATGATTTCCAGGCTCTTGCTATTCTGCAGCTCGCATACTATGGGGAGACAAAGCGTGGGTATCTCGTTAGTACCCATGCGTAGAGTTCGTCTTCAGCACGTGACTTGATATCCTCTGGGATTGGACTGTACGTGCCATCTCGATCGCCCAATTTATACTATTTGTAGAGATGCCTCGCTTCTGCCTGTGCTCGATCCCCGCCCGAGGGAGTTACTTGGCCATCTATCTTTAGGTGAAGGATTTCCCATCAGATTCCCCGTCTTTTTCTCGGTCCCGCCGGTCCGCCCCCTTTTTTTCATGCTGCAGTTCTGCAGCACGTACCTTTATCTCATCTCCAGCTCCTTTGCCAATTGCCATAGCTTCGCATCCCGTCAATAGTCTTCAGTTTCAGTCCCAAAACCATAACAAAAGTACAAGGGGGCAAAGGGTGGGAAGGGATATACTCATACACGTTCTGGACACCCATACAGGTTCACAGAGTTACCCGAACTCTACTCCTGCCTAGTGAGGCATGAGTTGAACTAGGAGCAGGTGAATAAATTTCTTCCGTGCGAGTTCTACCTCCCAGGCAGTGAGCTATACGTTCGCCATATATAACTAAGTGGTCCTTAGAGCCAACAGCACTCATGCAAGACAATGGATAACCCACTACTTGAACTCTGAGGGTAGGAAAGGGTCTGGCGAAGCCTTGGCTACCAACTACGTAGAAATCCCATTAGCTACACCTGCTAGACTTTCCCCTGCACCATAATCATATTCAAGACGTTGAAAGAGGCTCTCTGTCCTGTTACCCAACGACCCATACCGGTCACCAGGTCGGAGAGGTTTGGTTACCAAGATCACAGCTTTGCAGTACATGTTGGAAAATTGTTTCGTATTACGCGTCAACCTGTAATTGTCAGCGAATTTCGTTTCCGGGAAAATTGCAGTGTCAAGTAAGTGCAAAAGGCTGCAAAACCAGAGCCACCCCTACTTCTAGCACACAACTCTGCGAGACATCATATCGCTACCCCTTATACGTCTCTTCTAATAGGCCTTCCGCAATATTGGCCTCGCAGATTTCTCGACTTCTTACCCACGCCAGTTCTCAAGTCACCCCCACAATTCCATTTCCGGCAGCCACCAAAACCAGCAATGTCTGTGAATCGCTCTCACTGGCGTAATGTCTCCTTTTATGATGCTACCAATCCCGACCAGGCTCTTGGAGGCGTTGTCCAGAATGGGTCTATAACCGAGGCAAATTTTCTTGACATGCTAGGGATCTTACTTGTGAGTGACGGGAGCCCTCTGCGTGTTCAAGAGCGGATATCGAGTCATATCATATCCAGAACGGACCTGCCTCTTGAAACAGGAGTGTATGATATTTATTGCGACTGTATGTGCTATATTTCCCTTGTTTATTGGGCGGCCCAATTGCTGATTTTGTCAGCCTCTGTCCTAGTCAGCAATGAGCTTTGGATACGCCGGGAGGTTTCTCACAACGTCACCGGTAGGGATCGTACATTCTGTCATAGAATCCGTAATCGTGATCGGAAATGCGTTATTTCACGAATGGCAAATCCTGAACTTGGTATCAAGGCTCTTGACTGGTCCGGTTACGAGGCTGCCCATATCTTCCCTCTTGAGCATGAAAGCCATTGGGTTGAGTATAATTATGGACGGTGGATTACAGACATGAACGATAGCACCAGATCTTCGAAGGTCAACTCATCTCAAAACGGCTTCCTTCTCCAGTCCAATATCCATGACATTTTTGACCGGTACCTCTTGTCTGTTAACCCAGACGACGGTTACAAGGTTGTTGTGTTTGCGGTCGACCGGCTTGGGCTTGATGGTAGGATTCTAGATCTCATTTGTCGATCCACGGCGATCCTCACCGTGTCTCTGACGAACTCCTCAGATGGCATTTCTGCCAATCAGTCCTCGCGAATATGAGAGGAGGAGGAGAACCGATTTTCGAAGATGCCTTTCAACAAGGGCCCGATCCGGTGGGGGAGATTCTTGCTGGTCCGTACACCGACGAGAGATCTAAGTTCGAAATACCTTCTAGTTTGCTAGGGATTTCCTAACGGCAGCTGTTTCAATTGCCCGGAGACTTTGTGGCTGTGGGTTTAATAACTCTGACTAAACGATCATTCGCTTTTTTTTTCGGAGGCCTGGTGGGGACATGATAGGGATTTTAACTGTTAAAATAGATGAGCATAGTGCATATCAACAAAATATTCTAATGAAAATACTCTCCAACCGCGATTTCTCTTGCTTTATCTTTCTTTTCTTTGCACTTATATTTAGGCCAGCACTTTTTTGATGGCTGGGGCGGTTACTGTACCCGTGGTTAAGGAAAAGGACAATATTGTTGTGCAAAACTTGAGGTAAATGACGAAAACACAGGTTTCACATACCCCAAAACCAGAATGTGGTCCACAGAATCGCAGGCCATCAACCGAAATATGAGACATCACTGATATCTCGTATATGTCGTTCACCATATTGCCTCACATAAACCTGAATATTACTCGCTGATGTAAGGTGTTCGCTATGAAGCGAAATAGATGATGACAGAAAGGCATTCTACAATGTGTTGGACCTGGAAGCCTATCAGGCTCGTGGGTGGGCCTGTGGGAGTAAGATGCGGAGGTAAAATGTGGAAATCTCAATTGACGCCCATAACTGTGAATATGAAATACAAAGGTGTAGGAAGTGTTCCTGGTCGCATATTATGTCAGATCTGGCATCAACCAGAAATGCCACTTCAAAAAGCAGAATCGAGTTTGACGCACTTGAGCATATCTTTATCCAGAGCCGAAACAAGGGTCGCCTTTAATGAGGATATCTGTCCTGGGACCTACTTGAGTGTATTGGTCACCAAGCCCGACTGGTTGTGTTGCCAAAATCTGAAGTTGGTTGACAAAGTTTAATGGGTAAACACGTGATTGTCGGCGAATTTTATTGGTTGGAGGGTCGGGGTGCCAGGTAGGCAACGGCATAAGTTAATCAAGGCCACACCCATTCTTGTCGAACTGTGACGCTCTCAAGACCACACACCGTTACCTCCTTGCAATCTCGCGGACCTTATCTCACCACCCCACCGCCTCTGTTCTGATCTGACCACAATTTATCAACCCCTACCAAAAATGTCTCGGAATCGCTCTCTGCTACGTAATGTCTCCTTTTATGATGCTACAAACCCCGAAGAGGCTCTTGGAGGGCTGGCCCAGAATGGGTCTATAACTGAGGCGAATTTTCTTGACATCCTCGGAATCTTACTTGTTGTTGACGGGAGCCCTCTGCTTGTTCAGAGGAGGATATCGAGCCATATCGTATCCAGAACGGACATGCCTCTGGAAACAGGGGTGTACGATATTTATTGCAACGGCATGTGCTATATTTCCCTTTATGAGGCGGCCCAATTGCTAATTTTGCCAGCTGCTATCCACGTCAGCGATCAGCCTTGGATACACCGTTTGGTTTCTCGTTACAGACCTTCTGGGGGAGATACGTTCCGTCACTGGCACGAAATCAGTAATCGCCACCGCAGATGCGTTGTTTCAGGAATTGTAAATCCTGAAATCTGTATCCAGGCCCACGACTGGACTGGCTTCGAGGCTGCCCATATCTTCCCTCTTGAGTGTGAGAACCATTGGACCCAGCATGGCTATGGACGGTGGATCACAGATATTGATGATGCCGCCGGATCTTCAAAGATCAACTCACCTCAAAACAGCTTTCTTCTCCGAACTGATATCCATCAAATGTTCAAACAGTACCTCTGGTCCGTTAACCCAGACGACGGCTACAAGGTGGTTGTATTTACAATCGACCGTTTTGGGCTTGATAGCAGGGTTCTGGATCCCGTGTGTCGATCCCCGGCCGATCCCCACCGTGTCCCCGACGAACTCCTTCGATGGCATTACCACCAATCAGTTCTCACCAATGTGAGAGGAGCAGGAGAACCGCTCTTCGAGCATGACTTCTCGCCTGGAACTGATGTGGTGGCTGAAATCCTCGCTGGTCCGCATGTACAAGAGAGATTTGAGCTGGAGATTGCGGCTAGGTTAAGAGTGCCTGCTTAAGCGAAATGGTTTCAATCTACTAGACATTTTACAGGTGTGGAGTTAATGACAATGGCCGAGTGATTATCAGCTTTTTCGAAGGAACGATAGGATTGGAACCGCGGTTTTGAAGGTTAAAATGTATTGGGAAGGCAATCTGACCTAGCTAAGCTCATAAAAATTCAATTCCATGGGGCACTTTTCTCGCTTTATTTTCTTTCCTTACAACTATCTTCGCGCTAGCTCTTGTTGCGGGGCTAGGGCCGTTGCTATACTCGAGTATGTACGGGTAAGGGAAGAAAATGGCTGGTTTCACAGTTCGGCTACCATGGAGGGGCTGGGCTGTAGGACCTTCGCTGGAGGGAAATTCACCTCCTACTGCCACTAACTACTCCTTCCAGCACAAATACATCACATGCGGAAAAATGAGAAAGGACGACCCTAAAGACAACTGTGAACCGAAGGTGAAGATGGAATACCACGAGATTCATATGCCCAAAGACTCCAAGGTATTTCCACACTATAGGAAGCCATTGACCACTGATACCTTGACCGAAGTTCGACCTGTTGCCTCACTCTAACCCGCACGTCCCTCGATATGCAAAGCGGGCGTCATGGTGTTGGATGCATTATTAGCAAGAAGACAACCATAACACATGTGAGGGTCTAGGCTATACAGTGATGTAGGTTGAAGCTTTGGCACTATAATGTTCCAATTTCATTCGGAATTATCATACGAATACTTATAGGGTTGCCATAATAATAGCCAACATCATTAATTAACATGCACACCAGGGGGGGGGGCAAGAATTTCAAAGCTGGTTTCACCATCATCAGTCCATTTCACAGGGCATTTTTTACCACAGCCGGAACAGTTTCTTAAACTTGGGCAAAAACACTTGATGTAAAGCGGGTCGGTGTAGTACAGTAGTTAAATATACACGCCCAACAGTCTGTCATCTACTTTAGGTTAGCCTGCGGATTACGTAAACGCTGTACCAAAACCCGACTACGGCCCGAAATTCCCCCCACTGATAAGGGGCCCGTGGAAACTACAACGAGCTGGCACACGATCTTCGCATTACCGGTATGTGGCCGTATCTGCACACACCTCGTCCCAATGACCTCTTAACACCGCCTGCAGACATCTCAGGCCCTCAGAGCTTTATGCCGCCTGTTTTCCTGGCACCTTAGAGGATAGTTTCAACTTGAATATATCTTTCCATTCCGCCTTTCTGTAGGTGGGTCCCAAAGGCCCAATTCGGCTTCAAGCACTTGTCCCAATCACCGAGCACCAAACAAGCAAATATGGTACAAAACAGACTCCACTCCGCACACCCAGAGAGGACCATTACACCATTTTGCATCCGGCCCCCTCCCTGCACAAAACGTGATATCCGATGGCCTTTTAGTAATGAAAATGTAAAGACAGGTGAAATAAGAAGGTTCATTGATGAGCACAGAGGCTTCCCCTCACCCTGCACTATATTTAGTTAACCCTTCTGATGATAAACATGTCAGTCAGCCAGGGGGGGGGGGGAATGATGTGTGATCACGGGATATTACCCGGCGTCACAGAGATGTGTTGTGGCCTGCTTCGTAGTAAATTTTTACCCGGTAAAGATAGTGATTCAGTGTCACCCTGCTTTGTAGATGGTGGGGGCATAACCCGGAGTGAAACTCCAACTTGTAGTATAGCCAGCTATGAAAATGTAAATTCTTTTGAAAGAAAAGTAGAAAAATACAATCCTCCTGTTCTTGTTAACAATCCGCCCCTCTGAACTCTGAAAACCCCTTCCCTATCCCCTGAACATGTTCTCCCATTTTTGCGATAGCTCCCGTATTGTCACTCCCATGGCTAGAAAGGTCCTATACCTTATTAGTTTTTGTCGGGCTCCCTCTAGACGGAAACACACCCTTAGGTCTTGCCCCCTCCTGTGGAGCTTCGAGCGTAATGGAGGCCTAAACAAACTTACTGAAAACGATCGTGAGCGTTCTTATTTATGGAGAAAACACCTTTGCTACCTGCCACACATGATTCCCCCCCCTCCCTCGGGTGGTGGATTGCCGTTGTTTCGTACTAAGGGAGCTACATTTTAGCATAGGTAGAAAATGGACCCATGCGCGAAGAAGGCACACCTTTCCTTTCCCGACATTTCCTTGGTATGATACTAACGATTTCTAGGCTCGTGCCATTCTTTAGCTCGCATACTTGTGGGAGGCAACCCCTAGATATCGTGTTGAGACCCGTGCGTAGAGTTCGTTTTCTGCAGGTCGCTTGGTTTCTTCTGGGATCCCTCTGTAGTGGGATCTTCTCCGCCCACCTTATACTTTTCGTAGAGGTTCTTCGCTTCTGCCTTTGTTCGACCGCCTGGTGAGGGAGTTACTTGGCCATCTGTGGGTGATATTCCGAGGGAAACCATTCCTATGGGTTCCCCTTATTTTTTCGGTCCCTCTGATCCCCTCCTATTTCTCGCCGCAGTTTAACCTCGTTCACCTTTATCTCATCTCCGGCGCTTTTGCCAATCCCGATGGCTTTGCTGGCATCTCGAGGCTGTTCCGACTGTTCTGGAAGTAATGCCGTCTGTAAAACATACTGGATGTGAGGAGAAAGGGGAAGAAAGGTTGAGCCACCGACAGTGCTAGCTCTGGGCACGGGTAAATATATATCTCCCCAGAAATAACAACTTCCGGAACTCAAGGAAACTCAATGAACTTTGAAGCACTCCAACCTGAAAAATCGAGATCTAGTGCGATTTCAAGCAATATGGAACTGTGATGAGATCTCATGATTCTCCTTGATCCCTAAAGCCTGTGTCCTATGCCAACTACGATTTGTGGAACGGCATATGGTGTCAAATAAGCACCCCGTAACCAAATACCTGATATTCTATGCGCGATTGCAAGAGGTGCCGCCTAACTAAAACCCCGTATCATGCCGCTCATCACATATCAGCTTAACCGTCTGCCCTATAGGCAATGCAATAGTACCCAGACCATAGCTTCCACGATAAGACATGGCACTCGCAGCACTCCACTATATTACTAAAGTTTCAGAAAAAGGCTAACAATATTGGCTGGGTTGGTAGGGTATATCAGGATAACATATTTGATTGAATAGCCAACAGGTGATATTTCAGGTACTTTGCTATCCAGGGACCATTCGTTCCATGGTACCCCTTGTCCTTACGAGTTAAGGTGGGGTCAATGAATGGTGAATCTGACCTATCATACGTGGATCCTATGAAAGCAGCAACAAGAAATGAGTACGGATTCAATAATGCCTAAAGAAAAGGAAAGAACTGGGGGATTACCGTGCATGGCGTCCGCCCCGCCCAACCATAGGACACATTGCCAGGAGGGAGGTGGGGGGGGGGGGGGCTGCCCTAGTGTGCACACTAGATAAAGACAAGGGCGGGGATGAGGAGAGATTTGGCATGACCTTTTGATGTGGATATCGCCAGTAGGGTAGCTCTTGAAGATCGAAGAATTTGGTCACGCCAATACTGTGGACACTATCGACTTAGAGCGGGCTCCGCAAGCCCTTTAAGGTAGTACTAGATGGTCACATAGTAGGAGTTGGCTCTCCCCGGTTGAGTGACTACGTATCATAGCTTGGTCACGTGAAATCAGTCACTAAGTTGGGTGTGCATTCGGTGCTTACCTTTGTTCTCTCCCAACCATCTATAGGAACGCAAGCTCAGTTCGCAAACAACCCACCACCAGAAAGCCAGAACTACGCAAAATCAAGAAGGCCCAAGAAATCCTTAGTATGATTAAGAAAGCGCTTAAACCCAAAATATGGCATGGCATTCAGATGCGCGCTTAAAGGGGATACATGTCCTGTGACCTAATTTACTGCATTTGTCACCAAGTGCGAATAATTTCGCTTCTAAGACCCAGGGTTTGTGATGCATTTCGGGTAAACACGTGATTCTCAGCGAATTTCATACGGTTGCCAGATGAGGGTGCCAGGTAGGTGCAACAGGATATTATATAATCAGGACCACACCCACGCCGCCAAACTCGCACAGTCTTCAGACCACGCTTCGTTACCTCTTTAAATTCAACAAGACCTTATCACGCCACCCCACAGTGTCAGCTCTGAGGGGAATTTCTCAACTTCTTACCTCCACCAGTTCTCAAGCCATTCCCACAATCACGTTTACAGCAATCACCAGTACTAGCAATGTCGCCGAATCGTGCTCTACAACGTAATATCTCCTTTTATGATGCTACCAACCCTCAAGAGGCTCTTGGAGGAGTTGTCCAGAATGGGTCTATAACTGAGGCAAATTTTCTTGACATCCTCGGAATCTTACTTGTTGTTGACGGGGTGAGTCCTCTACGTGCTCAAGGGAGGATGTCGAACCATATCGTATCCAGAAGGGACGTGCCCCTTAAAACAGGGGTATACAATATTTATTGCGATGGTATGTGCTATATTTCTCTTAGTTGCTTGGCGGCCCGGGTGCTAATTTAGTAAGCCTCTATCCAAATCAGCAATGAGCCTTGGATACAGCGTTTGGTTTCTCGCTTTGCCTATCGTGAGAAAGATACATTCCGCCGTGAGATCAGTAACCGCGATCGGAAATGCGTCATTTCAGGAATTGTCAATCCCGAGAGCAGTATCCAGGCCGGTAACTGGGCTGGCTTCAAGGCTGCCCATATCTTCCCTCTTGAGCGTGAGGGCCATTGGATCCAGTATGACTATGGGCGGTGGATCACAGACATGGATGATGCCCCTAGATCTTCGAAGATCAGCTCATCTCAAAACGGCATTCTCCTCCTGGCCCATGTCCACCAAGTGTTCCAACAGTACCTCATTTCCGTTAACCCAGACGACGGTTACAAGGTGGTTGTGTTTGACCTGGACCGGTTTGGGCTTGATGGTAAAATTCTGGATCCCCTGTGTCGATCCCCAGATGACCCCCACCATGCCTCCGATGAACTCCTTAGATGGCATTTCCGGCAATCAGTCCTTGCGAATATGAGAGGAGCAGGAGAACCGATTTTCGAGCACGACTTCCCACCGGAGACCGATATGGTGGGTGAGATTCTTGCTGGTCACTATGGGCAAGAGAGGTTTGATTTGGACATAACGGATAGGTTGAGAGAGCTTGCCTAAGGGCAAGTATTTCGATTCTGGAAAGATTTAGCAGCTGTAGATTTCAGGACACTAGCTGAGAAATAATTAGGTTTTCTCGGACGCCTGGCAGGACTGCAGCAGAGATCCCTGAAGTGAAAAGGCAGTGTCAAGGGGAATATCAACTTAGTGGGCTAATCGAAATACAATTCAATTAGTTTTTTATTTTCTCGCCTTACATTTATCTTTAAGCTAGCCTTGTTAGCCGGCGGGGGTGGTTGCTGTATCCCTGATGACGACCTGCTAAGACCGCTCAGGGCCTGTTTGGTTGCGATGGTGTCCCCTTCAGGACCATTCCGTTATGAAACCGTTTGACCGAGAGAAGCGGTTGTTGACAATTTAGTGCCGTTCAATTCCAGGTAACATGTTTAAATTAATATTGTAATGATTGCATGGTAACCGTGCTGTTATGGCTGTTGTGAAACAGAACAGTCGATGCCTTCCTCATTTGCCAAACAGCCACTCTCTTCTCCTATTTTGGAACCGAAGGGAAACGGTCATTTGTATAGACTAGGACTACGGAACAGAGCCATTGCAACCAAACAGGTCCTCGGAATATTAACTCTATTATCCAATCTACGAAACTAGCCTATTATAATAACCGGAATAGAAAAACTCGAGGATTCGCAGCAGTGGAGGGGCACAGAACACTGCGAAATCTGTTCTGTTCATCAAAGCTGCAGGCTGTAACCGAAATCGCAAAATAGGATTGCTGGGGTAGATTCAGTCGTGGCTATTCGAACAGGGTGGTTTCCTAGACCGCACACTAGGCTAGAAAGTCACAGCGGTTAAGACTAGGAGGTAGGAGGGTACTCCAAGGAGAAGGATTGGGTTTTTTTGATAGTTCTGATCGTTTGTCATAAATCACATAACTTTGGAGCTGTCATTTTAATTTCTTTTTTCCTTTCCACCTCCGCCTAAAAAATCAAATCTGACGAGCTTCTTGTGATAAATTTAGTCTACAGTCGCGATGGGTGGTATGTCGCTTCAGCGGGTATGGCGGCAGGGTGGGTACGCAGGAGGTTTATGCTTGGTACTGAACCCTGCGTCATGCTGAGTTAGCCTAAGCGACCTCTTAGTACTCGCCAAAATCCAAAAGTCTGTCCCCGGGGTATAGCCGCCGGTGGCAACATAGCAATTACTCCGCTCTCACAGCCCCGACGACGGGAGAATTGTGTTGATAGCATCGGCCATAAATAAAATATCAACCGGAAAATAGGGTCACTAGTGATGTCCAGAGGGGATGAGAGGTGAGCCCTGTGAGCCCCAATTTTTACAAGCAGGGTGTGGTTCGGTCGGTTGCGCTTAGGTAAAGGTCGGTGACAGACTTTTGATTTTGGCGAGTACTTGAACACGCACCATCCGAGCACCCGCCCTACCCACATACCCGCCAAAGCGACATACCACCCCCCACTTTATAAAAGTATTTTCACCCAACAAGCATGCTCGCTGGCAGCACCTGTTTGGATACAGCAAAACTTTATATTGCCATCCTGATTACATTGATTCTAAGCGGTATTTAGCAATCTACCCCTCCGGGATTTCACGACTGCTTGCTCACACCTACTCTCAGGTCATCACGCTCTTAGGTTTACAACAACAAACCATGTCTCAAAACCACTCTCTCATACGCAATGTCTCTTTCCACGATGCTACCAACCCCGGTGTGGCTCTTGGGGGGCTTTTTCAGAATGGGTCTATAACTGAGGCAAACTTTCTTGACATCCTCGGAATCTTACTTGTCATTGAGGCATCTCCTCTGCATGTTCAAGAGAGGATATCAAGTCATATCATATCCCGAACAGATGCGCGTCTTAAAATGGGAGCATATGATATCTATTGCGATTGTATGTGCTATATTTCCCCATTTACTAGACGGACTAATTGATAATTTCGACAGCCTCTATCCAAGTCAGTGACGAGGCGTGGATACCGCGGTTAATTTCTCATACCACTGGTAGAGAAGATAGATTCCATGATGAAATCCGTAATCGCGACGGGAGGTGCGTTATTTCAGGAATTGTAAATCCTGAGGTCCATACCGAGGCCCATAATTGGATTTCCTTCCAAACTGCTCATATCTTCCCTCGTGAGCATGAAAGTCTTTGGGTTCTGTATGGTTATGGCCGATGGATCACAGACATCGACAATACTCCTCAGGCTGGGTCCTCCAAGATCAACTCCTGCCAAAACGGGTTTCGCCTAGACGCAACAACACACCATAGATTTGATCAGTACCTTGTCTCTGTGAACACTGATGACAATTACAAAATTGTTGTGTTTGACGTGGAACGGTTTGGGCTTGATGGTATAATTCTGGATCCTGTGTGTCGATCCCCAGATGACCCCCACCATGCCTCCGATGAACTCCTTAGATGGCATTTCCGGCAATCAGTCCTTGCGAATATGAGAGGAGCAGGGGAACCAATATTCGAGCATGACTTCCCACCAGGGACTGATATGGTGGGTGGAATCCTTGCTGGTCCGTATGCGCAAGAGAGATTTGAGTTGGAGATAGAGGCTAGGTTGAGAGAGGCTGCTTAAGAGCAAAAGTTTCCATCCGCAAGAGGTCTTCCGGCTGGGGATTTTTGGAAGTGAAAATGTATGGGGCGGGGGAATATGACCTTGCTAAGCTAATGAAAGTACAATTCCACATGCGACTTTTCTTACTTCATTTTCTTTCCTTACACCTATCTTCAGGCTATCTCTTGTTCGGTGGCTGGGGCTGTTGCTGCATGTGGGGGTAAGGGAATAAAACTGATTGTTCATGGTTTGGCTCTCATGGAGGAGTATGGCTGCACGTTGTTGGTGGCCAAAGAAATTTACCCCCTACAACTACCTACTACATTTTTTCCAGTATAAAATACTCATTTCCATCACATGCAGAAAGATGACAAACGGCGACCCTAAAAATAGCTGAAAACCCGTAGTGACAGTAGAACACCACAGGTTTTGCATGCCCAAAGACTCTAAGGTATTCTACAGCTTAGCACCCCATCCACCACCGATACCTTGGTTGACCTTCAACCTATCACCTCACGCTAACCTGCACATCTGCCACTATGGAAGGCGCTCGCCATGACTTGGAACGCATTGTTACAGAAACCACCCTAACACACCCGATAGTCTGGGCTACAGTGACGAAGGTTGAGGCTTTGTCACTTAGGCGCAATTTTATCCGGGATTGCAAATCTTAACAGAGTGACCACAACCGCCAGCATCGTGAACATCCACTAGGCTAAGAATATTAGGTTGGACTCACCGTCAGTCCATTTGACATTGTGGGGTTTGCAATCGAAATATGCCTTCAAATGCGGGTAAAACACTGGATAGAAGCAAGTCGGTGTCGTACAGTCCTCGAGTAGTTAATATACTCACCTAGTAGTCTGTCATCTACTATAGGTTAGCGCATTGATTAGGTAAGCCTCACAGAACTGTCACCCGAGATTGCCTCCTCTGACATGTATCCTCCACGGGTGTATTGGCTCCGGCCCGATGCATTACGGGCTCCAGGTGGGTGGATTTGTAAAAGGGCATGTCAGCCCGCCAGGCAGATGGGAATGACAAGTGGTCACGGCATGTCCCTCGGCATCAAGTTAACCTCACCGCGTGCAGATAGTGTTTCCATGCCCTTTTTCGTACTCGCCCATTTCTGCCAAGGATAATGCTGGGCACCGATATTTGGTGAGGAACCCACCATTATTGCGCCATAATCCGACACCCGGCGGTATTCCTGGGAAGGACGTGTGACTGGGACCGGACCCGTAGTAGAGCCCGCTATGGCACTGTAAACTCTTGTGAAGGAGGTTGATACGAAGCAGAAAGCACAACCCCCCGCTGTAATTCCGTCCCTGACATACCGGTCCTTCCCATCAACCCTAACCTTGCAACTCGTCTCTCTATTTTCTTGTATCATACAAAGATAAAAATGTTGCGTTTCGTCTGATCTTTCCTCGCTCTTCTCCAGTTCCTAGGCTCACCACCCCTTTCCTAGTTATAGTAGACAATGCTTGACTTTTACCACCTCTCCCCCATCGACCTTACGGCCTCCCAACCATGGATTACTCTATGATTGTATACCCCTCTCTCGTTACTTCTCAACCTTTGCTTAGTCTCCCTCCTGCGGAGGTCTTCACACTGATATTTGCAGCAGCCTGAGTAGACTATCATACTGGATTTTCTTGCACCGGCTACCCACTCCCATACCATCCGAGTTACCACCGTGAGGCATTAAAAGCGATGGTGCTTCTGGATGTCCTACCGGGGCCCGAGCGGCACGGGAGTTATGCTCTTTGGAGAGAAACCTTGATATCTCTCATGAGCCATTTGACAATTATGCTAAAATGAGATGAGTGATTGGATTCATCAAGTACTAGGTCAGGAGTGAATATATGCGATGTGAAGCATCACGATAACTTGTTGCCATGTGCGGATAGCCTGAGGGCGCTGGAGCACGGGATAGTAGTGGGGAGGGTTATTGGTGGATCCCTGTTGGTTAAAGCAATGCTTTGTGCAGCCTATGCCACGAGAGCTGGGGCAAAGACTGACCACAGCCTAGGTAGTATTATATGCCTTGAGATATCCTCCACTGTAGATTGCCGACATGGGCACATCTTGGGGAATCTGGCTTCAGAGACAATAGAAGAAAATATCCTGGGACATTACAACGGGAGGGAGATTTGGTCGCTTCGCACAAAATGTGCCCCTCCAAAGTTCCACGAGCCTGCCAATGGTACAGTATGAATTAGGAAGGTCTCGCAAGGTCCAAGAAGTGCACTCATCTGTTCCTCTAGTCCTTCCAGCTTTTCCTCCGGTAACGCGATACGATTCGCCAGGAGTATCAACAACCCCTCGACCCCCAATATGATATTATTCCCTTTGGTGGAGTCTCACCCGGTTTTTGGCAAACAATCGATGGTACATATATAATTAACAAGCATGCAGGAAGCATCACACTATTCCTAATATTC